TCCGAGCCCTTCTACATCCTCGTCTACGTCGACGACTTCATTCTAGCCGCCAGAGATCCAGCCGACATGGCAGCTGTTCAGTATGCTCTCAGTTCCGCCCTTCTCATGAAGGATCTTGGTGACCTCAAGAACTACCTGGGGATGGAGATCACTCGTGACCGCCAGGCTTGCACGATCACCCTGTCCCAGGAGTCCTACATCGACAACCTTCTCAAGCGGTTCGACATGGACTCCAGTAACTCTGTCTCCACTCCACTCCACTCCCACTACAGCATCAGCTCACGGCCCCTCCAGTTCCTTCTCCTGACGTCTGCAAGGACCCGTACCCTGAGCTAGTCGGTTCACTCATGTATGCCATGATGTGCACTCGACCAGACTTGGCTTACCCGGTTAGTGTCCTCTCTCGGTACGTCTCCCCCGGACGTTACACTGCCTCGCATTGGTCTGCAGCCAAGAGGGTCCTCCGCTATCGACAAGCCACCAAGTCTCACATCCTCACTCTTGGTGGTACCTCTCCAGTCAAGCTCGAGGGATACACAGACTCCTCATGGGCCGATGACCAGACTGACAGACGCTCCTCCCAAGGGTACTGCTTCACCCTTGGTAGCGGAGTCATCAGCTGGCGCTCCACTCGGTCCTCTGCAGTCTCCCTGTCATCCTGCGAGGCCGAGCTCTACGCGGGCACAATGGCTGCTCAAGAGGCACGCTGGCTCTCCTTTCTCCTCGCTGAGTTAGGCTACCCCCAGCAGTCGCCCACCCCGTGGTGTGACAACCAGAGTGCCATTCACCTCACCAAGAATCCTGTGTTCCACTCTCGCACCAAGCACATCGAACTTCGTCATTTCTTCATCCGAGATCTTGTTCAGAGTGACCAGCTGACGGTAGGGTACATCGCCTCAGATTGCAACCTCGCCGACCTCTTTACTAAGGCTCTCGGCAAGGCTGACCACCATCGTCTTCTCCGTTCCATGGGGCTATGTGCTCCTTGACCGGGTTTGCAGTCTATGGGGGTGTGTTAGAAATAGACTGCAAATACCACTTTTGTATTTGTACTTTTATATCCTAGTTTAGGTTATGAATGTTCTAGTGGGTTGGGGTGTACTCACAAATCCCAACCTCACCCAATTGTGATCCCCCCAATCTCCAATTACCCAATTGGAGATTCCGGAGATCCCAATGAGGATTCCCTCCAATTCCTCCTTCATCCATTCACTCTCACCTTGCCATGTACTTATAGAGCCTTGGGCTCCTTACCTAATCAATCATTTCAACTCTATTTCTTAGTGTCCTGTCTCTCTTGTCCTGCGCTCCCACCCTTTGTTGCTCCGTTCCCGTTCGTCTCGTCCTCCCCTCCTCCCGTCCCCTCCTCCCTCGTCCCTTGCTGTTGCACCTCCTCCGTTCTCTGACTACCTCCGTGCCGCTCGTCCCCTTGTCCCTCGGGTCCTTGCCTCTCTTGTTACCGACCCTTCTGTTCCTGTCTCGGGCCTTGACGCGCTTGTCGCTGCTTTCGCTGACTTCGCCTCCACCCGCCGCCTTGACTATGCTACCGCTCTGGTCTCTGATCCTGCTCGTCCTCCGTCTTTCGGGGATGCTCCTGCCCTTGGCAGTGACGTCCTAGAGGACAGGCAGTACAAGCTTGCTTTCCTTTCCGAGGCTGCTCCCCATTTTTGCTCCATGCTGTTAGTCCCGGAGGGTGACCCAGACGCCTTCGATATCCCGACTCCTCGCACCTACTCTGTGGCCACCTCAGGACCTTGGGCCTCTCAGTGGTAAGCTGCCATGGAGCAGGAGATGGCATCTTGGAGGTCCACCGGCACTTACGTCGACGCAGTTCCCCCGCCTGGGGTGAAAGTAGTCGATGGTCGGTGGCTCTTCAAGGTGAAGCGCCTTTCTAGAGAGCCGCCTGTCTTCGAGGCGCGCTACGTGGCCAGAGGCTTCAGTCAGCGCGACGGGGTTGACTTCTTCCAGACCTTCGCCCCGACCTCGAAGATGACCACTCTTCGGGCGCTGCTACAAGTAGCAGCACAGCGCGACTACGAGCTTCACTCCCTCGACTTCTCTACTGCCTTTCTTCAGGGCAGCCTACACGAGCAGGTCTACCTGCGCCGACCACAGGGCTTCACTGATACCTTCCCCCCTAGGACCCAGTGGCTTTTTAGGCGCCTGGTCTACGGCCTGCGTCAGGCTCCCCGCGAGTGGCACGATACGCTGCGTGCCACGTTAGCAGACCTGCAGTTCTTTCCGTCCTCTGCTGACCCCTCACAGTTTGTGCGTTCCGGCCAGACTCCGCTCTATATCCTTGTTTACGTAGACGAACTGGTCTTCGCTACTGCTGACAGGGACGCACTGGCCTCTGTGAAGGCCGAGCTGCTGAAGAGACACACCTGCACTGACCTTGGAGAGCTGCGTCGCTATCTTGGCCTGCAGATCTCCAGGGACAGAGCAGCACGCACCATTACTCTGACACAGTCACACTTGGTGCGTCAGGTCCTTCAGAGGTTCGGTCTTCAGTTCTCCTCCGCACAGCTCACACCTCTTCTTGTAGACCATGGGCTCTCCGCTCCCGTTCCTGAGGAGCCAGTAGAGCCCAATTGCCCCTACGCAGAGCTGGTGGGTAGCCTTATGTACCTGATGACTTGCACTCGCCCTGATCTCGCATACCCTCTCAGCATCCTGGCTCGCTTTGTGGCTACAGGCAGACCGACCTCAGCACTGGTCTGCCGCTTAGAGGGTTTTGCGTTATCTTGCTAGTACATCGGGCATGGGGTTAGTGCTAGGAGGACACAGGCCAGTGGTCCTTACTGGGCACACAGATGCTTATTGGGAAGACGACTCTGAGACGCTCAGGTCGTCGCAGGGCTACTGTTTTAGCCTTGGTTCGGGTGCTATCTCTTGGAGATCCACTCGCTCGTCATCTGTTGCTCAGTCCAGCTGTGAGGCTGAGATCTACGCTGGCGCCATGGGGGCACAGGAGCTCCGCTGGCTGACCTTCTTGCTCACAAACTTAAGGGGAGCGGCCTAGCTCAGCCCCGGTCCTGTACGCTGACAACAGGGCCATGATACTCCTGTGTCAGGAGCCTCGGCTTGAGGGCAGAGCGAAGCATATCCGGCTGCGGTACTTCCTCCTTCGCGAGTTACAGCAGCGCCGCCAGGCCCGCGTAGTTCACTTGGCCTCAGGTGCCAACACAGCTGATATCTTTACTAAGGCGCTTGTGCCTAGAGATCATCAGCGGCACTGTGTACAGCTTGGTCTTGTTCCTGTAGCTACTCACCTGTTAAGATCCTGATTGTGTACTCTCTATTATATATACCTGTCAGACTGGCCTTGTGGCCTTACCTCCAGTGGCTGGACTAGTAGTGCCGCCCTGGCTTGCTTTAGTCTTGTTTGTACTCTTGCTGTTTGGTCTCCAGACCCCTGCCTCAGTGGTTGGACTAGTAGTGCCACCCTGAGCTGTTTGCTTCTTGTTTAGCCTCACCCCTTGTCTAGCCTAGGGAGTGTGTCAACTTATACATATTAGCTATGTAGAAGTTATAGGCTAGACTGGGGTATGCTTCTAGTGAGTACAACCAACTAGTATTTGTTATAGGTTTCTCCTTCTAGTTGATCATTCAGTTCTTACTTTAACATGCTAGATATGGAGATCAGACTCGTTTCCGTATTGTCTGAGGGAGAATTCCTAGAATCGGGTCGATCAGATTACCGCGAATTCCTATGTACTGTGTATCACAAAGAAAAATGATTGAACTACAATGTGTGTGTACAAGGATATATAGACTAGGATGTTGTTCCCTCTAAGGCACAATCCAGTATAGTCTACAGTAACAACCTAAGTAACATTTGACACACCCCCTAGACTATATAGGGGCAGTGCCTAACAAGGAAAGAAGGAGCTCAGGGCGGCACTATTAGTCCAGCCTCTGAGACCAGTCAAAAGGAGAACTGACAAGGCAAGAGCAAGCCCAGGGCGGCACTACTAGTCCAACCAATGGGAGAGGCCACAAGGCCAGTCTGGGTAAAATATAGATATAAAGGAGATTCCAAAGTCAAGGCGCTAGCAAGTGAGAGGCAAAAAGAACGAGACCCAGCTGTACATAGTGCCGCTGATGATCTTTAGGCGCAAGCGCCTTCGTAAAGATATCAGCCGTGTTGGCACCGGAGGCCAAGTGTTCTATGCGCGCCTGGCGACGCTGCTGCAGCTGAAAGTGCTTTGCTCTGCCCTCAAATCGAGGCTCCTGACACAGGAGGATCATGGCCCTGTTGTCAGCGTACAGGCCCGGGGCAGAGCTACGCCTCTCACCTAAGTCAGTGAGCAAGAAGGTCAGCCAGCGGAGCTCCTGTGCCGCCATGGCACCTGCGTAGATCTCGGCCTCACAGCTGGACTGGGCAACAGACGAGGAGCGGGTAGCTCTCCACGAGACGGCACCTGAACCAAGGCTAAACCAGTAGCCCTGTGAGGACCTGAGGGTCTCGGCGTCGTCTGCCAAAGAAGCGTCTGTGTGTCCAGTAACGACCACTGGCCTACGTCCTCCAAGTACTAACCCCATGCCCGATGTACTAGCAAGAAAACGCAAAACGCTATTAGCGGCTACCAGTGCTGAGGTCGGTGTCTGCCAAGAATTGTTGGAATCGGAGCACATATGAAGAAGTTACGAAGAAGTGTTTGATGGATTTGTTACAACTCATTGGAAGTCCTTGTCAGCTGCTACACCAAAGTTGGAGAGCCCTATAACGAGGAGGGACCAGCATGTGTGGGACTCTTGTCCCCACCCTAAAGCTCGCTCGTTAAGCTACGGAATCGAGTGATTCAACTTTCAGAGGAAAGCTGACGCTGCAAGCTACAACATATCTGATTTTCAAATCGTTTCACCGATTGGAGTTTTGGATATAGCTTTTCGAAGGTCGCGAGTTTTCTGGGCGACATAACGAAGTGCTGCAGAAATTTCCAAGGAGCCATTGAATCATCTGCTTATAGCCTTCTCTAAGCAACAAGTGGTATCAGAGCCCATTGTCACGCATTTGGGACCTAAAATACGATGGGAGATAAGGAGGACTCTGGTGGAGGTGATACTTCAGTCCAAGGAGGCAGCTCAACCCAAGATTCTGGCATTGCAGCGCAAAGGGGAGCGCATACAAGCCAGGGGTCACTGCTTAAGGAGGTGCTGAAGAGCTTCACCATTGAGAAGTTCTCTGGAGATGGCTATGACGATTGGGCATGGAAGATGCAGCTCTACTTTTGACAAATTGGCCTCTTGAAGCTCATGATTGGAACGGAGCCAAGGCCAAAGGAAATGGCAGAGCAAGCGGACTGGGATGAACGTTCATCTGCTGGGTATTATCTACTGTCACAAGGCTTGGAGCTGAACCAGAGGCATCACATCATGCATCTGCTACCGGAAATTGATTGTGGGCCCAAGGCATGGGCAGTGCTCAAGGACCTGCACGCTCCGACATCGGTTGCCGCTTCTCTCATGCTGGATCGGGAGCTGTCCATGCTGCGGTTGAGCGAGAATGAACCTGTGCAGCCCGTACTGGACAAGATGAGGGAACTCTACGCAAAATTGGCGATTGCAGGCATCACGTACCCTGAGCAGACTAAGTGTCTCAAGATGCTCAGCCTGCTGCCCGAGTCTTGGCTGCAATTTATAAGCGGACTCAGCTTGCCACAAAACCAAAGTCAATGGACATTGGAGTGGATTCGCACCAAGATTCTGGAAGAAGATTTTCGTCGCTATACACTGCGCGGAGGTGATGACAGCACCAGCGGCTATGCCATGCAAGGGACATGGAGGGATCGAGGGCGTGGCAATCGCGGTCGCTCCTACTACAACCAAGGTGGTCGCGGGACTTGGAACCAGCGGGGGCGTGGTGGCGCTGGTGCAAGAGGAAGAGGTGGTCACTCCAACAATGACAACAGTGAACCACGCTTGAGGGGAGAGTGCTGGTATTGCAAGGAAGAAGGGCATCCATGGTTTCGCTGCTCTACCAAGCCCGACTGGTGGACCCCTTGGAACCAATCGCAAAAAGGGAATGGAGGAAAGCAACCACATGGAGGTGCCAACATGGTAGCTGATCCTGCTGAAGAAACCTCCAAGGATGACAGAGGAATGGGAAATGAGGAGAGGAATGCTGGACAGTTCTACCATGTGTGTGACAAAGATGACAGTGGCACAGCTGTTGCAAGGGCTGGAGAGGAACTGCACCCGCTTGACATGTGGGTCATGGACTCTGGTGCTGCATGGACAATGACACCACGCAAGGACTTGCTGGATGCTGTGCGAGCGCCTCCAATCTCTGAAGTGCGCTCAGCATCCGGACATGCAGTGAAGGTCGCTGGAGTTGGTCGAGCTGCATTCAGAGCACCTGATGGTGGACTGGTTGTCCTGAAGGACGTGTTACTCGTACCGGGGCTGAAGGCCAATCTGATATCGCTGCGCAAGCTAGGCCAGGCCGGAGTCAGCACCACCACCAATGGATCCAAAACATTCAAGGGGCTGCGAGGAGATCGTGTGTTATGGGATTTACACGAAAGCAGAGATGTCTTCAGATCCATGTGGCACATCCCTGCACTGATATGGGAATCAACAAAGAAGGAGTTGGGAGCAGTAAAGGCGGGATCTGGAGTCCAGGGGGAGTGCAATGCAGTTAGTGCTGCAGGAGTGACGGTTTCTGCAAGGTCGGGGGAGACTGATTGGGAAACCGCACACAGGCGTCTAGGGCATGTGGCTATGCCATTGCTGCAGCAACTGCATAAGGAAGAAGCAGTAAAGGGGCTGAAGCTTTCTGGGCAACCAAATGATACCAAGTGCGAGACGTGTCTGCTGAGCAAGTTCACACGGTTCCCCTTTCACGGCGTAGCTGGGAAAAGCAAGGCAGCACTGGAACTGGTGCACATGGACCTGGTAGGACCTTTTCCAGTTCGAGGAAGTAAGGGGGAAAGGTACTTCCTGACAATAGTTGATGACTGGAGTCGGCTAATGTGGGCATACCCGTTGAAGCAGAAGGATCATGCTGCCTCAACAATACGAGATGACTGGCTGCCGTTCGTCGAGCGACAATCTGGGCACCCATGCAAGAGCATCAGAACCGACCGAGGTGGAGAGTTTCTAGGAGGAGATCTGACCGCGTGGCTCAAGAAACAAGGCATTGAGCATCAGCTAACGACGTCCTATACCCCTCAGTCAAATGGCGTTGCTGAGAGGGCTAATAGGACCATCCTGGAAACTGCGCGAGCGCTGCTGATCGAATCAGGGCTGGGGAACTCCATGTGGCCTCATGCGGTGAGGCATGCTACAGTGGCAAGGAACCGCGTACTCACAAAGGTGGCTGATGATATGTGGGTGCCGCTGGAGAGGTGGCTTGGAAAGAAGCCTCCAGTGGACATGCTCAGAGTGTTCGGATGCATGGCAGTGGCGCATGTCCCTAAACCGTACAGGACAAAGCTTGGAGCATCTGCACTGTGGTGTGTGCACCTTGGACTTGCGGCAGAAAGCAAGGGGTGGCTACTCTGGGAGCCCTCGAAGAATGTGCTGTTTGACAGTCGGGATGTCAAATTTGTGGAGAACATCATGTATGGCAAGTGGGAGAAGCAGCCGGAGGCAAGGGTCACCCAGCAGCTGGAAGAGATCACTATGCACTTCGATTTGTCCGAACCTGAGGACAGCGAAGTCACTGCGCCAACGGCAAGCGGTACTGATGAAGGAAGCAATGAGGATATTGCAGCTGATGCTGAAGTCAAGGATCCGGAGCAGCAGCAGCAAGAGGCTTCCAAAATACCAAGTCTGCCAAAGCGAAGGAAACAGATTGGTGGGGGGACAAAGGATTGGGTGAAGGTGAAAGAATGGGTAAATCCAACCATCTACCCTGCGCGTACCAGAATGGCAACAAGAAAGCTGCTGAGCTCTACAAGTGGAGGAGCCACAACTGAGCAGCAGGAATAGGCTCAAGGCGAAGATGCAGTGCTGTTCTTGGGTGATGACCAAGAGTCAGATGACGAGGAGCCTGCATACTGCTTTTACGCACCAATACAATCTCCGAGCATGGATTATGCGCTAGCCAGGCCTCAACGGGGGAAGTGGCTCGTTTCAAGAGATGCAGAGTACAACAGCCAGATGGAGAATCACACATGGGACCTGGTGTACTTGCCAAATGGGAAGAAGGCAATACAGTGCAAGTGGCTGGCAAGAATCAAGACGGATGAGAAAGGAGAGCCATCAGTATACAAGAGCAGGCTGGTGGCAAAGGGGTTTCAGCAGAAAGAGAAGGAAGATTACAAAGAAGTGTTTGCCCCAACTGCTAAGTCTCCAACGCTACGTGTGCTGCTGGCGGTAGCTGTTGTGCGCAAATGGAAGGTGAAGCAGATGGACATCGTAACCGCTTTTCTGTACGGCATTGTGGAAGAGGAGGTGTACATGGTTCAACCACCTGGCTATGAGGATGGAACCGGTCGTGTCTGCAAACTTAACAAGGCCATCTATGGCTTGAAGCAGGCCCCGAGATGCTGGTACAACAGGCTGGCCAGTGCACTGGAAGGGATTGGATTCCGTGCGAGTACATGCGACGAGAGCCTATTCCTGATGGGCAACGGGGAGTCGCTTGTGCTTCTGCTGGTGTACGTGGATGACATCCTGCTCTTCAGCAGCAGTGACAAGGGGATCGATGGGGTGCAGCGGAAGCTCACAGAGCAGTTCAAGTGCAAGTCACTTGGAGAGGCAAGGTACTACCTGGGAATGCACATTGAGCGGGATACTGAACGTGGCTGGCTCAAGCTGCATCAGGGACAGTACATCAACACCTTGGCTGAGAAGTACTCTCTGCAGGAAGAACGGGAAGTGGTTACACCTTTGCCTTCCGAGTTCAAACTCATAAAGGCAGCTGAAGGAGAAGGAGTTGAAAGTGAAGACCAGAGGCAATTCCAATCCATGGTCGGGAGCCTACTCTACGCTGCTGTGCATACTCGGCCTGACATCAGCTTTGCTGTGGGACAGCTGGCTCGAGTAGTGCAAAATCCAACAGAAGAGCAGTGTGGTGCAGCGGAGAGAGTGGTGTGCTACCTCAAGTCATACCCTACAGTGGGAGTACAGTATTCAGCCTCTGCTCAACTCAGGCAAAAAGGAGTTGAAGTCCTTCAAGAGAAGGGGGAGCAGCTCGGAGAAGGAAAGGTGTTCCTTTCCTGTTTTGCCGATGCCACGTGGGCTTCTGAGCATGAGGATTCATCATCAGTTGGTGGATACATCTGCATGGTGGGAGGTGGGCCTGTAAGTTGGAGGTCCAAGAAGCAGTCTGAAACGGCACTATCTTCAGTGGAATCTGAGTACATGGCAATGTTTCATGCGGCAAAAGAAATCATTTGGCTAAGGAGGCTCTTGAAGGAGATCGGCCATGAACAGACTTGTGCGACACCTCTGTTCAGTGACAGCAAGGGAGCCATTGCCATGGCACGCAATGCAGTTCTTCATGGGTTGAACAAGCACATGAGGATCAACTGGCATTGGCTGCGGAAGGAGGTGAAGCTTGGGACACTGGATCCGATCTACGTGAAAACTCAGCAACAGCCAGCCGACTTCCTTACCAAGCGGCTAGCTGAAGAGCCACACTGGCGCTGTGTGAGGATGGCGGGAATGTCCTTGAACTAGAGACGGCGAAACAAGCCGACAGTCTGAGGGGGAGTGTGTTGGTGCATATTCGTTTGCACGTCATCCTGTCGTCTGTTCGCATCATTTCGTTGCATGTGTTTTGTGTGCTACATTGTTTGTATGGTTTGTTGGGTTTGCATGTCTTTGCATGTTCGTCTTGTGCTTGTGCAGATGTGCTTGGTTTGTGCATGATATCGAGCACATTCCAACGAGCCAAGAATTGTTGGAATCGGAGCACATATGAAGAAGTTACGAAGAAATGTTTGATGGATTTGTTACAACTCATTGGAAGTCCTTGTCAGCTGCTACACCAAAGTTGGAGAGCCCTATAACGAGGAGGGACCAGCATGTGTGGGACTTTTGTCCCCACCCTGCAGCTGCAGCATTTGGGGTTTGGAGGCCAACCTGGTACAGTGTGAATTTTGTCTTGCCAGGCTGGCTGAACCTGAGGATGGGGAGTCAAGACTTTGACTCTTGTCATGTTCTTGACCATGGGCCTCCAGGGTCCTTCCCTTTCATCCTTCCCTTCCATCCCTACCTTCGAACTGTGCTTCAATGCCTTTTCTATCATGCCTCTGAACTTGTAAGCTTCAATCATTGTGACTCTGAGGATTGTCAACTTCTCCTAGGGCAGATTACCCCCCAGTGCGCCAAACGCCATAGCTCGCTCGTTAAGCTACGGAATCAAGTGATTCAATGTTCAGAGGAAAGCTGACGCTGCAAGATACAACATATCCGATTTTCAGATCGTTTCACCAATTGGAGTTTTGGATATAGCTTTTCGAAGGTCGCAAGTTTTCTGGGCGTCATAACGAAGTGCTGCAGAAATTTGCAAGGAGCCATTGAATCATCTGCATATAGCCTTCTCTAAGCAACATAAGTCAAGTCTGGTTGAGTGCACATCATGGCATACATGAGTGAACCAACTAGCTCAGGGTACGGGTCCTTGCAGGCGTCACGAGAAGGAACTGGAGGGGCCGTGAGCTGATACTGCAGTGGGAGTGGAGTGGAGTTCGAGTTACTGGAGTCCATGTCGAACCGCTCGAGAAGGTTGTCGATGTAGGACTCCTGGGACAGGGTGATCGTGCAAGCCTGGCGGTCACGAGTGATCTCCATCCCCAGGTAGTTCTTGAGGTCACCAAGATCCTTCATGAGAAGGGCGGAGCTGAGAGCAGACTGGACTGCTGCCATGTTGGCTGGATCTCTGGCGGCTAGAATGAAGTCGTCGACGTAGACGAGGATGTAGAAGGGCTCGGAGGAGTGACGAACAAAGAGACTGGAATCTGAGGCAGAGGGATGGAAGTCAAGTGCGAGGAGGACTTCCTTCACCTTGTTGTGCCACTCACGAGGAGCCTGCTTGAGGCCATACACTGGGCGCTTCAGCTTCCACACTGTGTTGGCAGGGTAAGTGCCAGGAAACCCCGGTGGGCGTTCCATGTGAACATCCTCCTTGAGCTGGCCTTGGAGAAACGCGGAGGAGGCGTCCATGGACTTGATCTCGAAGTTGACGCGAGCGGCTTTATCAAGAAGAGCGCGCACAGTCGGGAGCTTGGCCGTGGGCGAGAAGGTTTCGAAGAAGTCGAGATACTCCTTCTGGGTGAAACCCTTCGCCACGTATCGTGCCTTGAACAGTGGAGCTTTGCCTGGGAGTTGTTTGACTCGGAAGATCCATTTTCCGCCGACGATGTTGACACCGGAAGGGGGAACAACATCGTCAAAGCTGTTGTTGCGAATGAACGCCTCGTTCTCCACATCCATTGCTGCCTTCCACTCCTTATAAGGCCCTGAGAAAGCTTCCTCTTTTGTGCGAGGAGTCGGAATGGCCGGGTCTTCGGTGAAATTGAAGGAAGGGCAGTCAGTAATATCCGGGAAGATGTGAGAGAGAAATTGGCATCGTCACCTAGCGGCCCGCGGCCCCGTCACCTAGCGGCCCCGCGGCCCCGTCCCCTAGCTGCCCCGCGGCCCCGTCACCTCGCGGCCCCGCGGCCCCGTCACCTAGCCGGCCTTGTCGCCTAGCCAGCCCCGTGTCCCTGCCGGCCCCGCCTCTTCGCCGGCCCCGTCGCGTTGCCGCCCACGGCCCCGTCTTCCAGATGCCTCGCCGCCGTCCTCCGCTCCTCTGGACTGCGCTACACCGCCCGGCACCAATCTGCACCGCTCGGTACCGTACTGCACCGCTTTGCATCAGACTGCACTGCCCTGCACCGCACTGCACTGCACCCTACCGTAGTGCACCTCCCTCCACGGCACAGTACCGCACTGCACCGTACATCACCGCATTCCGCTGTGCTCTCCTGCCCAGTACTGTCTTTCTCTTGCTGCGGCAACCATGATGGTGGACTCGGTCCTGCGTTTTGATGCCAAGGGGCAGCCGATTGAGTTCGACTCGTGGCTCGTTGACATCCAGCGACACCTGACTAGTCAGCGGCAGGACAGCCACTCCCTGGCCATCCACATCGACGGTACGCTCCCTTGCCCGGACCCTCCTGCTGCCCTCCCCGCTGACCCCATCTCTGCAAACCGTGAGTCCGCTGCAGTTGCTGCCCTTGCCCGTGCTGTCTGGTTGTCGCGTGACGTTGTCGCACAGCTTGCGATTAGTCATGCCCTCCCCCTGTCCGAGCGCCCTCGCTTTAGGTCTGTGAGGACTGCGTGGGAGTCCCGAGAGGCTGTTGTTGTATGCTATTCCGCCCCACCCTCTGCCTCTGTAGGTCGCCTGATCCTGCCCATGATCTTTCCTGACCTTGCGACCTTCCCCACTGTCGCTGACCTAGCCGCCCACCTGTGCACACTAGCCACGACCTGGTGCGCTGCCTGCAATGAAGCTCAGCTTCTTGTGTTTCAGCCCCCCATTTGCTCTACCCTCTACCTGCTTGCCACCCGCCTCCCTGACAGTCTTGCTACCGCCCGCGATCACTTCCATAGTCTCCACCCTGCTGATCTCACCCTCATTGACTTTGTCGACACCCTGTCTGCCATAGAGACCTGTCAGCGCTCTATCGCCCAGTCTGGCGGGTACCGTGCCAGACTCTATCTTTTAGGGCTGTACCTCTATTGAGTGCTCTTACTCCGACGGTTCTGCTGCGGTTGCTAGGACAGTTCCAGCTGTGGAAACAGCCGCCGCAATATAGTTTCGTCCGGGTAAGGGTCGCCGCCCCAAGGCTGGGCGCGGCAGAGGTCCCGGAGGAGGGAGTGGTTCCGGTGGTGGAGGTGGCTCGCCAGCTGGTAGTACTGACGAGGGGATTTGGGCTGGTACCCCAGAGCAGCCGCCCCAGCAGCAGCAGCAGGCTCCGCAGCTAGACTAGCAGCAGCAGCAAGCGCAGCACCAGCCGCAGCAGCAGCAGCATCATCGAAGGGTCGGCCGTCTCCCGCCCGGGTGGCCTAGAGCTGGAGGTGACGGTGGTCGCAGTGGTCGCTCGTGCAGCGTGTTGTCAAGTGGTAGTCCGAGTGACGGGCGCTACGAGTACCAGCTCCAGACCGGTCCTCGCCGCGGCCTCGTGTGCGGTAAGATCGGTCATACCCCTTCTCGTTGCTTTCGTCGCCTAGACGACCTGTTTCGTCTCCGCTTCGGCCCGTCGCCTGACCTCCCCGACTGGCATAGTCTGCTCTGTCGTCGTGTTCAGATCTTTGATATGGACATGGATGAGATTAGCTCTCCTTTGTATGCGCTGTATCTTGATGACTCTAGTGTGACTGGTTCCTATTACCCTGTGTTGCCTAGCGTAGGTGTGCCCAGTGTGCCTAGTTCAGACTCCCCTGCTGCGTCCGGCGTAGGATCCACTGCCGTGTCTAGCCTAGGGTCCTCCCTCGCTCCTCCGACCTCTGTCGACGCTGCCACGCTCTCCTTCACCCTGGACTCCGCCGCTTCCCGCTCTTTCTTTCGTGACTCCACGATGCTTACGCCGCTTGCCGCCCCTGTTGCAGTTGCTCTTGCTGACCCTTCCTCCAGTTCTGTAGTTGCACGTAGCTCCACTACTCTCCCCTGTCCGGCGGTTCCCTCAGGCTCCCTTACAAGCCTGCACATCCTCTATTTCTCTAGAAATCTAGTTGGTGTCGGCTGCCTCTAGGACCTTGGCGTTACCACTATGTTCCCTGGGCACGAGCGGTACGCTGTCTATACTGAGGCCGCCACTGGTGCCCCCCTCACCACGTTCTCCGGGGACCCGGTGTCTGGCCTGTTCACGCTGGACACCGCTTCCCCCCCGGTTGGGACGCCTCCCAAGGTACCTGCGTCTTCCCAAGTTGCTGCGGCGAGCTCTTGTCGGTCGCTTACTAACCCGTCACTTGTGTGGCACCACCCCGCCCTCACCCGTCTCCGTCACATGTCCCAGCACCGTCTTGTCCTAGGCCTTCCTGAGTCGTTCCCTGCGCTCCCCTCCTCACCCGCGCCTCCGTACATGCCCTGTGTTGAGGGCCGGCTCCGTCGTGCCCCTCACTCCTCCTCGTTCCCCCCTTCCTCCGCACCGCTGCAGACCCTGCACATGGACGTCTGAGGCCCCGCCCCCGTCCATGGGCCGCATCGCGAGCGCTACTTCCTAGTGCTTGTCGACGACTACACCCGCTACACCACTGTCTTTCCCCTGGAGAGGAAGGCTGACATGCCGGGCGTTCTTCTCCCGTGGCTTGTCTCTGTACATGTTCACCGAGGTCTCCCTGTCTTGCGTCTTCACTCCGACCGTGGTGGCGGGTTTGCCTCTGGCTGCCTTGGTCGCTTCTGTCGTGCGGAGGGCATCACCCAAACGTTCACCCTGCCGGACTCCCCGCAACAGAATGGGGTCGCTGAGCGACGCATTGGTTTGGTCACGGAGGTGGCTCGTATTTCCACGATCCATGCCGGTGCACCCCATTTTCTGTGGCCATTCGCCATTTACTACGCCGCTCACCAGCTTAACCCCTGGCCGCACCCTCAGCGGTCGCAGGTTTTGCCGACCCTCCTCTGGACCGGGTCCCCTGGTGACGCGTCTGCGTTCCACGTTTGGGGCTGCCTTGCACACGTTCGTGCCTCTAGCACGGACAAGCTCATTGCCGGCACTATCCC